GGAGACTCCGCCAAAAGGAGAAATGTGGCAGACAGTGCTGAATGTGTTTGTAATACTCTTCTCCCTTATAAGCCCCATTAACACCAGCCTTTTGAAATGACATGCTAACCCTGGGCCACATGTGTTAGTTCAAAATGACCCTTTTACATGTATATGTAGCTTACACTATACTGAATCGTGTCCATTTTTGTCCCCAGCTGATACCAGAGGTGGGATATTATTGCATTGGAAGGCAATTGGCCAAGACGTAGAGTTTAGGACACCTCAGGAACACTGGGAGGACCTTTAAAATCACAACCTGTTATGCCTCCACCCACAGTCTCTGATTGAGTAGAACTGAGCTGGAGCCTGAAAATGTTGATTTCTAATGAATTCAAGCTGATGCTGAACTGCTGGTATTAGGACCATGCTTTAGGATCAACCTTTGCTCTGGAGTGGAGATTCTCAATTGTGCCTACAAAGATGAGACTTTCCTGGTATACATTTGTAAAAAAAAATAAGTTAATACATGAAGCCTTGTTCCAGGACCCTTAAACTAGAATCTCTAGAGGGAAGAGCCCAGTCAACAGTATTTCCATGTCTCCTCTTCTCCCCTAGAGTGTAGTCCAGATTAAGACCACACAGTCGATTTGTGTGTTAGGTACAGGGACTTGAAATTACTTTAAGGAATTCTCAAACTCATTAGGTCTTAATAACTAGTCATTGTGAAATGTCTTATATCTCTTATTCATTTATATGACAGATAATATGAAAGACTTGCTTTCCTTGGTAAATTATCACAGTGAACTTCTGAATAGACAATGTGCTTCTGTGGCCTTGGATAGGAAGAATAGACAAGTGCCAAAATTCATTATGAAGACACTGAGTTTGGGCCACTATTATATCTTTTTCTCTCTCTCTCTCCTTCCATCAAGGCTCCTATTATATGTATATGGATGTGTATATGTGTGTAACAGAGATACAGAGAAACAGAAAGGAAATACACAAATTTATTATTAACAAAACATAGCTATTAGATTGTCCATTGTACCGATTGTTTCTATTCAGCAGCTGTAAGCCTTTTTATTGTTAATATTGCTGCCTTCCCAAGTTTGATTCCTTTTTAAAAATAATATCTGTTCCTCTTAGAATATTTTCTCTGACATTTCCTGAACAAGTTCTGTGGTACATGCATGCATCCTTTCTTTCATTTACCCTCTCAGCAAATAGTTTCAAAACCTTAAACATACCTCAACTCACAACTACTATGGGAAAATAAACCCTAAATACCCATTCAGGGCTTATGAAATAAAATATATATGGAAGGAAATCAGGTGGAAGGTGTTATAGGACCTTTACATTTTCTGTTTGGCTAATATCTATTTTTATCTTTATCTCAAATCATATTTGTCAGACATTGTGTCGGGCCCTGGCACTGTGCTCAGGGACCAGAGGAGATACGGGTGAAAAGGATAATGAAGCCATCACTTTCACAGCTATTCAGGTGGGAACGAAAGAAAATATCAACCAAATAAACCAGAAAACGAGTACACTGTTCTCCAGTGAAAATGCAAACTAAATGAATTGAAGGAAGGAACGGTAAATAAAGATTTCTTTAGATGGATTTGTTCTGCGAGCATGACTCAGGAGGTGCTCGTTATCCTGAGAGCTGAAGAAGCAGAAGCCAATTGTGCCCAAGACCAGGGAAAGAGCATTATGGCCGAGAAAGCAGCTAAGGGAAAGACTCTGTTGAGTCTGGCTTGTACCCGAAACAGAAAGAATGCAAGTGGGTGAGAGGACAATACATCAGGGGAGAACCGAGGTGCCAGGAATATGGAACACATAGACTTCAGATGTCTATTACACAGTTAAGACTTAGTGTTAAATAGTCAAGTGTTTCTCAATACTTAACGTGAAACTGAATTGTGGTGGGGGAGATGGATGGATCTTGTTAAATACACAGATTCTGAAACAGTAAGTCTGGGGCAGTGTCTATAATTCTACATTTCTCAAAACTTGCCAGCCTTCCTGTCACTGTTAGCTCACATTTGAGCAGTGAGGATGTGGACAGTTTAACTCTGAGGTCAGCCCGACTCAAGTACAAAACCTGCGTCTTTGAGTCCATAAGCACGATTTGTAAATGACCATCAGCATTCACAGCAATTCTTCACTTGTCTTGTTATTCCTATCGTAAGATCCTTGGCTGCTGGTTACCAGTCTTTAGCTTTATCTCTGCTTCACAAATGTGATAAGAATGGTATTTATTGCTTATTTATTAAATGCATTACTGCTTATCTATTAAATGCATTTTCTTCATAGATGATTCAGTAGCTCTTGTATTTGGAGCTCATCAATTCAGAGTTGTAGAATGAAAGTTGTGCTTATGTGGACATGAAGAACCATATATCTGCAGGCAGTAGGGGAATTGTTTCAGAGCTCATGGATAAATAACATTATATAAAGCATTCTGAATATTCCTGGGAAGTTGTAGCCAGCAACAATTTATTTGCTTTGAGAACTTCATGACTCCAGAAACTAGAGCATTTCTGGGTTTCAGAAGAATTCTTAAAAGTGGTAGACTCTAGTAATCCAGCAACACATACATATAATAAAATATATTACATCTTTTGGAACACAGAAAGGATATTTTCCTTAACATAAGTGAGATGTTGTAAAAGATTATTTAGACTTGTATTTCAATAAAAGTCATAATTGCTTTGCCATTCCTAAGCCCTTTCACCAGGAAAGGCTAAGCCTGGCATCAATATAGTGTGCAAGGATTATTCGAGTGGATCTTGCAGTGATTCCAAGGTTGCCTTGGTAATTGGAAATGTAGCTTTGGGTAAATTCTGCCTATGAATTCAAACACTTTTATTCTTTTTAAAGCCAGAAAAGCAGCTTTCGTTAACCTAACATAGAGCTTTAGACTGTTTCAGACAGGGTGGGGGTGGAGAGTGGGGTGTGCGATATTAAATACTTCAAATTGAGCTGTTTTGTGGCTAACATTGCTGGATGCTATCAGATTATATTTGCAAATGACTCGGGGACTGATCTAGATGTCCTGCAAGTATACATTAGGCTGTCATGGGGGTTTCTGGCTCGTTGCTCTGCACGCTGCAGAAACCATGGTCTGTGTGAAAATAACGTGTCCCTTTCCACTTGTCCTCTAAGCAGTCTGTGTCAACAGAGCTTATTCATCTGGTGCTGCTCAAACAGAAATATTTTACATCCATGTGATTGTGTTAGTCTGGGTACTTTAGAGAAACAAGTCCTCAGAAACTCATGTATAAGAGAGAGTTTTATAAGTAGGTTAAGGGCACATCAAGAAAACATCCCAGATAACAGTTGTATGAGCCCCTAATAAAATGTTTAAAAAAGAAAAAGAAAACATCCCAACCCAGTGCTGCCCAAACCCACAAGTCCAACATTAACCCATTAACCCATATGTCCAACACCAATCCACAAAGTCCTCCTCCATCTCACAAAGCAGACTTACCGATGTTGACTGCAGGAGGAAAGCCGAATCAGTGAGTGTGCAAGCATCTCAGCACTGGCAGGGGTCTCCACATGGGTGCACCAGCACCTAGGGCTGCATCGGGGTAGGACGGTCCATGTAGCTTCTCCTTGGGGATGTCTTGCTGGAAGTCAGCCTTGCAAGCTGAAGCAGGGAACTGCTAAGGCAGCTGCACCCTGGTGCGACCTTCACAAAGCAAGAGACCCGAGAACTCGAAAGGCGAGACTCGCCGAGAAATTTATCCCTCCACCCTTCAATTAATCCCACATGTGTTTATCGGCCAGATTGGCACAATAAACTAACTAAATTAATCCACCCCTTGGCAACCTGGCACCTGTACATAATTCTTTAGCTTCACAATTGCAATTAAGTAACACCTATACCTTAACCCTATAATCCTGTGAATTTTTTCCCCCACCTATGAAAGTTTGTAAGCCAACCACTTCATGCCTTTATCTCCCCCAATTTTGGGTATCCAATGTACATACTGCCCACTTACATCAACCCAGTTCTCTGAGAAGACAATCATGTTTTTTGACATGAAGAGTCTTCAGTCCAGTTGGAACCTTGTGAAGTCTGCACTCATAAGCAAAGTCAAATCCAGGCAGGCCATCCATAAAGTCAGCAACAATATACATCAGCTCAGTGACTTTTAAGAAATGTACTTCCTCATCATTCTGAAGACTGGAAATGCAAATCCCAAGCACAGATTAAGGGAAGACGCTCAGCGTCTCCAGTCAAGGCTCTCCTTGGCTCCAGGTGAGCTCCAGGTGGCATGTGCCTTTCCCTTTGCGCTTGTGCCGAGTCTGCTCTTTGTATGGTTCACAAGGGGTCAAGTTTAAGACACCCTACATGGATAGGGCCTCCATACCAGAACAAAGAGAAGCCTACTCACAAGTGTAATTACATCCCCAGGTAGAGTGGGCAGCATTCCGGCACATAATTTTGGGAGGAATAATTCAATGCGTAACAAATAGGTGCTCTATCAAGTATTTCAATCTAACAAGTCCCCAAACTCCATAAAACTAAGATGTTACATAAGACCTAGGAGAGTCAGCCTCTTCAATTGTGGGATGCAGATCCTGCTGTGTACACTCAGGGTAAGTTTCCTCTTACTGCCCCCGGATTCAGAGGATGAAGAAAGGTGCACAGGAAGACAGCTGTTGGCAGATCTGGAACCTGTGTTTTTTGGAACCCAGCATTGCCCACGCTTCCCAACACTAACCCCGAATGCAAAGAATTCCAGGCTAAAAGCACCTAGGAGACCAGTGTGCTGTCACCTCTCCTGTTTCACCACAACGTCCCAATCAGAGTTGACCTTCCCCAAGGGAATTTTGCTTGTTAGCCTCGAATCCCGTTATGTTCCCTTGCCATTCTTCCCTTATTTGTGTTTATCTTTAACGTCAATTATGTTGTAATCAGCACCTCCTTTGTTTTCTTGAATTCCTCTTTCCTTCCATGGGATTAATGAATATTTAATAGAAAATCCACACTGTGTACATTCATATTCAAGTTCTATGCAAATTTATTCAAAGATAAAAATCACCGAGTATTGTTGGAGAATTCTACAGACATAATAGAACTGGCATTATAGACCCACATGTACTAACACTGTTCCCACATGATTTGCATAGGTTATAGAAATGTTTATTTTTAAATAGTCCCCTTGCTCCTTGTATCAATCTCTGATATATTAATTTTTGCTACTTCTGGTAATTTTTCCCAGTACAATCCATATCATTCCAGCTACTCCAACTTACGAAACAGATGGGAAAAGGTCAACAATGAAGTGATCTAGTTAAAGTCCCTTCAACCAATGAAAAATAACTTATTTCATGAATTTATAAACCATCTTACTATTCCTAGGATGACAGTGATATTTCCTTAGGCAATTTAGAAGTGATCTGAGAATTATAAAGGAGTATTGTGGGACGTATATCAATCTGTTTGCAGTATGACAGTTTAGAGATCAGGATGCAAACCAGATCTAATAGCTCTCGCTACAAGAGTAACACCTCACCAGTTGTTATGGCAACCGACGTGATGGGAGTGAAAGCATGGTGAACAGAGTGCGTGTAACAAACATGGGAGGTCGCCATGTGTTCCCAGGCTATGGCAGACCGCCATTGACCGCAGCCCCTCGGAACGAGATAAAGTCACTGAAATCGTTAACATATGTTAGTCATACTGGAGACGAAAGCTCTACCACTACAAACGACGGAGGGTCAGACGGACATTTATTTGGCTCTCGGTCTCTAGCTTAACTGACTTTGCAAATGGAAGTTCAGAGCCAGGGGCGTAACACACACTGCCGAGGCCACACACTGCGCACTGTGCGGGCTCATAAACGACTCCCAATATGCACACGGTACTAAACCAGCTTGATTCAGTATTAACACGGTATGTGATACGTTGGGAAATCTGAAGTCAATTTTTCCCTTCTACTAAATTAAAAAGTTATTTCTATAAGAGCAAAAGAAGAGACTTTTTTCTTTCAAATGCAAAAGCATGTCTACACGTTTTATTACGCATCCCGGCTTGCAATTTACCTGCCGACTCTGCCTTCATAATCCATCAAGTTACACTCTTTTAGAAAAAGCATTTCTTTTTTTCACTCTCGTCCATTACTTCACATTTCAAAGCAGGTTGACAGTAATGACTTTCAGATGAACATATGTCGTTGAAACGAACCTTCTCAACCTAAGTCACACATTCATTCAAATGAAGCCCGGAAGGAGGCTTGTGCGACTTTTGAGTTTGTGGTTTTATTCACAGCTTTGCAAATAAAGTCACCCGCTTCCATCACTTTGTAAAGATTCACTCCCTGTTGAGGGAAAGGAGGGAAGCCGGGGAGAAAGGGAAAGGAGAGAGAAAGCAGACAAAACAGAACCCTTTCATGAGTCATTAGCCACTTAAAAAGGACTTTTGGACAACACCTCTTTTCCTAAATTCTGTTGTGGAATCTTTTATATTGTTCTGCTTTATTAAAACATATCATGTACCTTACCCTTGTATTAAACTATAAGACACCTAAATACCCAACCCAAATTCAATGACATCGAAGTCTGTGCTGACGCACACAGCAGAGCCTCTGTGGGTTCCTGAGAGGGAACCTCTTTATGGGAGCAGAAAGGCTCATCTTCTCCCATGGACAGCTGGTGGCTTCTAGCTGTTAACCAAGCAGCTAACAGCACAACATGTTGCCCATTATGCCACCAGGGCCCCTTCTGCTGTTATTCCATCTGGTCCAAAAGCCAACCTTTAGGTTAACAACCAATTGTGAACTGCCTGCACTAAACAGGCTCTGATTCAAACTAGAAAGGACCATGGACTAGAAATCATATGCAAGATTTCAGCAATGGAAAAAGAGCACAATAATAGTTTGGAGTGATATATAGATAAAAGCTGCTTAGGGAAAAATTTAAAAAAACAAAACAAAAATAGAAACCCAATAAAAAACACTGTACCATACAAAAAAATAATCTTTAGAACGCAATTTAAACAAGCTCAAAAAGGTGACCGTATATGCGTTTTCCATGTTCAGAAACACAATTTCTGATACAGTATTGAAGGAGGTAAGTGTAGGGCAAATGAACTGAAGTAAATGAAGTAGTATTTAGTACACATCTGGAGCATGTTTGCGTGAGTGAAAGCATGTGAAAGCATGAATAGGCTCAACAAAGGCCTATGGAAATCCATGGATGATATGGCTCAAATTGATTATGAAGGCCAAGTTCAGGGTATGCTCCCCATATTGTGGGCCTGGTGTAACTTGGTGTCATGGAAGGTCACCCTCTTGGTCTCAGGCAGCACCTCCAGGCAGAGTATTGGGTGCGTCCTACAGAGATTTGCTCACACAGCATTTTATAAGACGCTATATACTCTTCCTCAGTATAGACCAGAAACACTGTCTGCTAAAAACTGAACAGATTCCATCATTCTAGCTTTAAAAATAACCTTGGAAATTTACATTAATCTATCTTTTGAAACACAGCTAGGTATACATACTCGTAACAAAAAGCATCACGTTAGAAATTAGAAGCATTTCAATACAGCCAATTACTTCTCTGTAGAGATACTCAGAGACCTAAGTACTAAGAACTACCTTGACATTAACTTTCTCTTTTTATTAAAGAATGTCAAAATAATATTCTATGAAGTGATATTTGTTAAGCTTTAGAATTTCTTTTTTATTATAAAATTTTCTTTAGGGTACTAGCATTTCTGCTGGTTTGTGAAATTTAATCTTGTCGCTGAAACATCCTCCGATTAATATTTGTTAGACACATTTGGATTGACTATTCTTTAGCCAAAGGATATATACAATGTAAAATAGTAAGCTACATGCGTCTTTCAGATATTAGCACTTAGCAAGACATCATAAGAGGATCTTCAACTCCAATGCTTTTCTTAATTTCCAAGAATTTTTTTTTAACAACTCTACAGTTGTGAAAGCACACTAAGGAATAATTTAGTTTGGGCGTTTTTCTTAAGTTATTTAAAGAATAGAAATCCTTATGATCTCACACTGCATTTTTCCTTAAATCATTTATTGGTTGCTTAAAGATGTCTCCTGTACTATGAGAGAATCTGAGATTTTTAGAAGGTTAAGTAGAATATGGCCCCTCTTTTCAGAGAATTTATGGTCCGTCAGACAACCATAGCCATACATAAAAAACACTTGCACTGTAGTTAAAGCCATTGATAGACACTATGCCCAGGCGATCATGAGGGCCGAAATGGGGGGCAGTCAGCATGGGGTGAAAACAACAGTGCTGAGCAGTTTGTCAGAGGTGGGTAAGGAGGGGTCACGAGTCCTACAGGGTGTGTCCGCGTCATTGAGAGGAACTAGGATGAGAGGGACATTGCAGACAGATAGGAGAGTGCAAGATAGGTAAGAAATATCATGGCACATCTAGGAAATAATGGATAAAAACAACTGAGAAAGGGCAAATAGAGCAGATTATGTGATAAGGCACACCTTTGCTTTCCAGGAAGCAAGAATCCACTGATAGGGGCTTAAGCAGAAGTGTAATGTAAGCATATTTGCATTACAGATGAACTCCTCTGTTGGTAGTGTGCAGAACGTATTTAAAGGCAAGTCTGGAAGCCAACAGACCAGTGTGAAGATTGAAAGTCTAATTAAAAAATAAATAAATAAGACCTATGCTGACGCAGTCATAGTCTGCATGATAAGAAAGGGTCACAGTTCCGAAACATTTAAAAAATTAAATTGGTGCCTCTTACTCATTGAAAGGACAAAATCATTTCACTGACACTAGAGTCCAGAGAATCTTGGCGCGTGGATAACTAGTCATGTTGGAGCTGCAACTAAATGTACCAAACCTCCATGAATTGTGAAATTCTTCAGAAAACAAACATGATAATTTGCATTTGCACCCCAATCTATCTGTGTACCAAGTATGAAACTGTTAACCACAAGGTCACTGGCTGAAACCCACTAGGGCTCCAGAGCAGAAAGATGAAGCTCTCTGCTGTCATAAAGGGTTGGTCTTGGAAGCCCAGCAGGAAGTTTTCATCAGTTCTATTGGGTTGCTGTGAGTGGAAACTGCCTTGATGGCAGAGGGTTGATCTGGGCAGTCAAATTTAGTTCATGAATTAAACCTTTGAAAAGGAACTTGTATCTCTTTAGATTCTATGCTGGTCATGAACTTTGAAAATCACAAAGCTACTTCATAAATGAAACCATTTATACTAATCACCAGAGAAGATAGACAATAGCTTTGGGTGCTTAGTGAAAATGAATTGTTTTTTCACTAAACATTCATTGAGCATCTCTATGCAATCAGAATCCCCCAGCTTCTTAGTGGGAAAAAAGACCAGCCTAGGATATCCTGTGGGAAAGTTAGTTGTCCTTTGCCATATCGAGTAATTCCGAGTCTAAATCAAATCAATGGCACACAGCACACACACACACACACACACACACAGAGGCCAACAGGCAGAAAATATGGAAAAGATATCATAATTTCTCTCTGGTTGCAGGGGACGTTAGGCACATAAACAAGACAGTTGTAAACATCCTAATATAGTCACAGGCAGAGACCCCAGCGAGCATGGAAACACCAGGGAGAGGACCTGCAGGTCATCCAGGAGATGATAGAAGCTATCTTGAGGCTAGTGATGGTTCCATTGGAAGTGAAGTTAAGGATGGTGCGTAGGCCATTCCACGCCATGGTGAAAGAAAGCATCTGCAAAGAGTTGAGGTGAGAATGGAATGGCCCAGAACCATGAGCAAGTGTGATGACGGATATCCATCAACACAAGTAGAGTGAGAGCAGAGGGGAGACAGGAAAGGGAGACAGACACATTTTTAAGTTTGGAGTCCTGGTGATGCTCTTCCATCTCGGAAAATATGTTGAATGTCTAATCCTCTGTGGAAGAGGCCGGTGGTACCTGGGGGAAGACCTCAGACTGTGACTGACAGACTTGTGACGTGACCCATAACAGAAAAAGCCAGAAGATCAGCTTCCCTAATATAATGGCCGAGAAAATTCTATGGGGCAGTTATACTTAGTCACGTGGAATTGCCATGGGTTGGAATTGACTAAAAAGGCAGCTAACAACAGCCACCGCCATCTATGAACAGCTTGTCTTTTTTCCCCTCCCCTCTTAAACAATAATCTGCTCTACAGAGTCACAATTTATGTTCACAATATGTTGGATGTTGTGACAAAGCACATGGCTTTTCAGGTACTTATTGAAAGGAGACGGTGCCATTTAAATGTCTCACACACTAATATGCTAACTAAGTGAACATCTTCCACTGATAATTGGGAAAGTGTCCCTGTAGCTTTTCCAGAAACCCCGGTTGTCACTGTGAGAAAAATAAACAGATTTTGGACTCCTCCAAATGAGATATCCATGCAAATAACAAAACAGCGAAAACAACAAGCACCGCAGGAATGACCGAAGGTCGAGTAAGTGATGTTAAATCAGGTATACAATGAAGAAACACTTTGGAAGCCATGCAGCACTATAAAGATGTTAACTGGCTGACAAAATAATAATTTATAAATTATCAAGGGCTCATGAGGGAGGGGAAAAATGAGGAACGGATGCCAGGGGCTTAAGTGGAGAGCAAATGTTTGAAGAATGATGAGGGAAACAAATGTACAAATGTGCTTTACGCAATTGATGTATGTATGGATTGTGATAAGAGTTGTATGAGCCCCTAATAAAATGATTTAAAAAAAGATGTTAACTGGCAGTGCTGTTTATAATTGAGGTATAGTGATAAGTTATGCTATAAAGCCCGGCCCTAATGTTCATTGTCATATCCCATAGTGCATGCTAGCAAATATAAAGTGTGCAGTGAAACTTTGACCTCAGAATCCATTCCTACATTTTCTGAAGCATTTCAAATTGAGCTGCAAAGAATGATGGGTATTAAAATATGTTGCAGTTACTTACTGTGTTGAGCCCCAGGCCATTAAGCATATACACCAGATCTTCAGTGGCAACATTCCCAGACGCACCTTTTGCATACGGGCAACCCCCTAATCCGGATACTGCAGAGTCCACTACGTTAATCCCCATCTGGAAAACAAGACACCTTAGATTTGTGTATTTATGACACATCAAGTGTTGAATTTTTACTTAACCTGTGCCAGAGTGCAAATAAGCACAATCTAAACCTGTTATCCAAACATATTTACTTACCAGATGCTAGCTTGCAGATTCTCTGTCTTAAGAGTGCAAATAGCTGTTGGGTCTTATGCTAGCAAACACTCTACCAGTATAAAAGACAACAGACATGTTCAATTTAAGAATTAGAGAGGAATTGGAATAATCTTAGATCAAAATAAAATGGTGTCATTCCGTGATACTCATACAACTTGTATAGGGTGAAGCACAAGATAAATTCACTCGCAGGTTTTATACCCTCCCCAGTCAATTCTCTAGTGCTATCCTAAAAATATTACATAAGCAACATGAGATAGCCTCACACACTGCAGCTCAAATTTAAGGAGTCTTAAAAGACTAGTGGATGTGGCACTGTGAGTTACTGTTTATGAAATAGGGCTCAGTGAGCTCGATTCAATCATTCAACTCATTCACTCTTTATTGAGCCCTTACCTTGCACACAAAGTAATCTGTGAGGAGACAATGAAAAGGCAAATGCGGACCACTAAGAAAGGCCCTGAGTCTTCCGGACATTCCATGTTTTATTGGATAGAGCAGATAGTATATATATATATATATACTTTTTTTTTTAAATTGAAGAATCGGGATAACCCTGCATCCAGCAAGTCTACTAGTGCTGTTTTTCCAACAGCATGATCTCATATCATTTCTCCATGTCACATTTTAGACATTCTCCTAGTATTTCAAACTCCTTCATTATGTTGCTTCATACTTTAATATGAACGTAAAGTAACATAAACATTATCTTTCGTGTGCTCTGAGAATCCAAACATTCATGTGAATAGCTTTATTGTAAAACTTTACTGCCATGGCCTGGATTCACACTCTTATATCAACCCCACATCACAATGAGCAACCCCACATGCAGAGGAGTCAGATGATTATACAGGGTCATTATCTGGCAAAGGGGATCTGGAGGCTCCAGGGAATTCATGTTCTGGCCTCTGGGAACAGACTACCGATAAACTATTAGACAGTTGGGAATATCAACATAGCACAGTTGTGCATGCTGAAGAAATTATAGATGGCACCCCCACAGGATTTGACAAAGATTCTGGAGGTCCTTGGAGAATTCCTAGAAGAGCTGAAAAACAGGGGCAGATTATTCCTGAACTGTGAAAACTGACAATTTATCTGACGCCTTTTTCCTGGTTAGATGGGATTAACGGTTTGGGGGAAGAAGAACAGGGTGACAAAGTGTTATTTTAATCACCTCCATCAAGGCTATGGGAGAAAGACGGAACTCGGTACTCCTGTTAAGAGTTACAGTGACTGTCTCAGAAGCTCACAGGAGCAACTCTACCCTGTCCTGTGCTTCGCTATGAGTTGTTATGGACCTGATGGCAGTTGAGTTTGGTCTTTGGTTTATCAAGGATACGTGCTATTATTAAACTTGACCACCTGGCTGCGGTAGTTTTGCCAGTTTTCGCAATTGTCAAGTATACATGCACCATCCTCCCACTCTTATGAAGGGTCCATGCATACTTTTTGAAAGGAAGTCACTGTGCACAGGCCACACTTCTGAGAGAAAGAATAGCTACAGATAGTATTTAGAATTCTGTAGGGAAAGTGTGATTATCCTCTCCCACTTATTTCTTTATTTTATCATTTATTTTTAATACCCACTATTGCTTTATATGTTTTGTTGCTCAAATTGTTCCACTTTGGGCGATTTGGATCTCTTTCAGTTGGTTTCTCAATTGTTCAGCAGGCCAGGAGGCTGCACGCTTTGAACCACTCTTCGAGATTGTCCCTCGTGAGAAAATTGTAAGGGACTCACAGGAGCAAAACTGCAGTTCAAAGAGCCCGGGGTTCTTGGGTTGTGGGACAAGTTTAAAAATACAGATTGCTTTTCCCCTCAACTTCCCCTCATTATCTTCCTAAGCCTGAGGCGGTTGCTAGGACTTTTCTTCTCTGACTGCAATCTCTCACAAATAATGATCGCAAAAATGCAATCCTATTCAGGCGCAAAGAGCTGGCTAGCTAAAGTTCTGGCCCACTTGTTCTGGTTCAAAACAGTAATTGGAAGAAATTATGCTCCCGCAGTGAAATTTCTGTTCGTGCCTAGTAGAGAGAAAAGATAAATATGAAGACATTGGCTCATTTCTGAGGATCTGCCATGGCATCCAATCGAAAAGGGGCCCTCCACCTGTGGGGTGAAGTACATCTAGTCAGTGGAATTTATTAGCTCCGAGGAGACAGAAATTGCAGTGAATCTCAACTCTGACTATTACTAGAATTATTTGGGGTCCTATTAAAAATGAACTCTCAAGCTACTTCTCAGAACAATTAAATCATTGATTAAATTCTTATTAAATGAATCTTAGGTATTCTTATGTATCACTAGGCTTGACCATCTCTGTCTCATCCATTTTTGATTTTTGGTATTTTTTAATCAATCCAGAATATAAATTAGCTTTAATTTAGAGACTCTCTAGATTATCAATGTGGTCCAGGATTTTGTCTTTCCTGAGTTCACAGTCCATGCTCCTGGGAGCAGCAGTCAAGAGAGGAAACCACACATTGCAAGGGTAAATCTGCTGCACCAGACATTGCTGACGTTCTGAAGAGCAAGGAGGTTCCGCGAAGGACTAAGGGACCCCATTTCCCAAGCCATGGTATCTTTCAATCACCTTACATATGTGTGAAAGTTGGCCATTGAGTAAGGAAGATTGAAAAAGAATAAACACATTTCAATTATGGTGCTGGCAATGGGATATTGAAACACATTTGAATTATGGAGCTGGCGATGGGATGTTGAAAGTACCATGGACCCCAAAAAGATCACATAAATCTGTCCTGGAAGGAGTACAGCCAGAATACTTGTTAGAGGCAAGTATGGTGAGACGTTGTCTCATGTACGTTGGACATGTTGTCAGAAGAGACCAGAGTGTGGGGAAGGACATCATACTTGGAAAAGTGGAGGGGCATCGACAAAGAGGAAGGAAGGCCCTCAAAGAGGGTTTGGCACAGTGGCTGCAACAATGGGCTGACATAACAACAATTGTGGGGATGGTGCAGGACCAGCAGGGTCTGCTCTGCTGTGCAGAGGGTCACTCTGCCTCAGAACCCACTCAACTGCCCCTCACAACATAAACGGCCAACGTCAGTATTAAACAACCATAACTGATGACTGAAGGCAAGAAAACGCAGCCACTTTCATGTGAAATCAAATATGGTAAGAGAAAAGTGTAACACTGGTACTTTACACTATGATATTTACACTTACAGTCATTTAACTGTCATTTAAACAGTGTTAGCAATAAAACTGTATAGAGCAACCAGCAAACTACATCTTCAACACTCGACAGCTTGCCTAAAGAAAAGGTAGTGTAAATGACTTCAGGCTCAAAAATGTCCGAGCCATCTAGGCCCATTTCATATAAAGTAATAAAGCAGACAGCACCCATCAATGTTGCTAGAGATCAGAATAATCATTATTTTTCAGATGTGAAAGAATGGGCACAAGGCGAGCTTCCAGAATGTTAGCAACATGACCTTCTTAACCAAGGCTCTTTATCAGTACTATCCGTTTCTGTCAATTCATTCGGGTAACGATTTGTGGATTTTTGTGTAAGTGCATAACAACAAAACAAAATAAAAAAACAGTCATGGAATTGATTACAATAGATACCCTTTGCATTTATGAGACTGTAAGTCTTTAAGGAAACAAATCTTCCTCCCTCCAAGCTAGTGGGTTTCGCTGCCAGCTTCTCCATTAGCATCGCAATGCTTGTCCTCCATTTCTCCCTGGAAATTCTATTTCAGTAAACATCAATGACAGAAAGAGCAGTATTGTGGGAGTTAATGTTAAACAAGCAAGCACAGTAAATACTGTATGTAGAAGCATATATTAGATTTTCCCCCAGGTAAGTCATTAATTACTATTTAATCTTAAATTATAATTATGCATCAATTTAATACTTTCTTAGCAGTATTTTACCCATAAGAATATTTCATGCATCCTACATACAATAAAAAAACATAGTTATTGAGTTGGTTCCTATTTTCAGTGACCCGAAGCAGGGTTTCTGAGACTGTAAATCATTACAGGGACAGGCTCTGTTTTTCCCCCTTGGAGCAGATGGTGGAGTTTGAACCATTGACCTCCTGTTAGCAGCCCAATGCATACTCCACAGAGTCATACATAAGAGAAAAAAATAAGAAATATAGATGGGTGAATATAGAGTGTATGTGCGTTGTATGCCATACACACAAACACCCCTGCCTATACACAACAAAACACATATTTGCAAGAATAAAAGTTTGATAGCAACCTAAATATCTCAGAGTGGAGCCTAATAAAGCTATTCTAAACTATTTTGATTGTTTCCAAATTATGAGGTATCTATAAAATAGAATGATAAAAAAAGCCATGTGAATCTTTAGTAAGGGGAAATAAATGGGATAGAGAATAATATAATAGTATACACAGTCAAGTTCTCATTTTCTAAAAATCAAACAACAATACAAGATATAGGTGATAGACCATATAAAAGGGCTCAATGAGTTGTGTGATTAGAGGTAATTTACTTTATTTTAATCCTGCTGTACTTGATATTTCAATGCCCCACAATGAATTTTACATTTTTAAGTAGATAAGGTATGCAGTAGATTTGCAACAATTCCGAATGCGAATAAATAAATCCAATACTCTGAATTTCTGAGTTAACATCATTTTGCAACTAATTAATTTGTCTAGGTTTCAAAACTAAAGAGTTAATATGCAGACATAATTTGGGAAAAATCAACATAGTCTAGGAAAAAGGCTGGCTGGTAAATTGGTCTTTCCTTATTTCCTAGGAGAGAGTAGCTTTAGGCAAAGATTCTCCTCCACTAACCTCTATTTCCACATCAAATCTCACTGTGACTCAGAGACTCTCTCAGATTCC